TGGGATCACCTTGCCTTGTGGCAGGATGGAAGCCCAAGAATGGTGTCCTGCATCCATTGCTGAGGCTTCAGGGGTCCAGGTACTTAGTTTACCTTTGGGAATTCCTTATTGGCCCTGCTGAAGTCCTTCCTGCTATACCATTCAGGGAAACTGTTGATCTTGTCAACCTGAAATAATCAAAAGGATCTGAATCCAGTTTTAAAGAATTAATTCGAGTGAAAAACTGGGAATGGCCATCCAAGAAACATGAACCCCAGAGAAATGGGGTCAGTGCTTCGAAGTTAAAAGTTAAGTACTTGCTTACGTACAGCAAACAAAGAACTTTAGTAGGATTATAATATTTTCTATACAAGGCTGGTTTATGTGTAACAATTTAATTAGTTTGTTTTCTTTTCCATACAGCTTTTCATTTCCTTTCCAACTTAAAAGTGAGTATTTAACATTCCATCCTAGACAGTGTGATAATCATGAAGCCTTTGTGTGAAAGAGGAAACAGGGAGGTTAATCTATAATGAAGATCCACACTTAGAGGGAAGGGGTCTTCCCTGGCACCCTTCAGTCATTTACAACATTTTACAAAGCAATGTGTAGGTAAGGCAAAGGCTAATCTATAATCAGATAAACAAACATTACAGCTGTCTATTTATTCCACTCAGGTTCCATAATCACATTCCCTTAAGGCTCAAAATAAAGTTTCAACAGGTGATATTTTGAATTACTTATTTTCACAATCTTCACCTTTCTTAGTTCTGGGAGTGGCCCTACCACGTGGGCCTGGCCTGCAGACTCCCAGAAGGGCAGTTCTTCCTAGCAGCCTTTGACTTTGGGGACCTCTCCGTAATCCTTAATCCAGCCCAAGGTTCTGACTCTTAATGGGTAAGGAAAGGTTGTGCCCTATGAGTCTCTGACCTCCTCTTGGAATCTGGAAAATCTTCTGGTGATTTTCCTTGTCCCAAATCTGCTGTTTCCAAACTTGCTTGAGACCAAGATGAAGCACACCAATTTACCAGGCATAACGCCTAGGTGAGGTGATTCACTGGCCATTTCTTGTACTTGAGGGTCGCAGGGTGACATTGCTGACTCTCTCAACTTCATTTCCAGCACTAGATTGGTAGTTCTATTCTTCGGAAGGAAGGAAGGAAGGAAGGAAGGAAGGAAGGAAGGAAGGAAGGAAGGAAGGGAGGGAGGGAGGGAGGGAGGGAGGGAGGGAGGGAGGGAGGGAGGGAGGGAGGGAGGGACAGAGGGACAGAGGGAGGGAGGGGCGGAGGGAGGGAGGGAGGGAGGGAGGGAGGAAAAGAAAGAAAGAAAAAGAAAGAAAGATTGGAGTACAATTTGTGGCACTCAATTTCAAGAACAAGCTTGACAGAAAGTTGTAATTGCCAAATACAGTAACCTACTTAGGGTGCATGTCGACATTGACTGCTTTCAAACTACTGTACCTGGCAACTCTTTTATTTCTCCCTTTTAAAAAAATCCTGTATCTGGCTGAAGGCTGAAAAATAGCAAGTACCTATCTTTCTAATGACCCTACATTAATTTAGTGCAGAGATAATTAGAGGCAAAGTTAATCATTAGTATTATAAGCCCTGAGACTGCAGCACATGGGCTTCTTTTGCTACTCAACAGAGTCCTTTTGTGTCTAGTTTTTGAGCACAGACACATCTTTATTTTCTATGTACTGAGCTCTCTTTGACATACAAGCCAAAAATTTACTTGAAGCAACCTGAATAGTGTGAGAGAATGTTTGTTTTTTAAAGTCCTGAGAATTACAGAGCATCCTTAGGGCATAATACAGGTATGTTCATCTAGAACAGCTGAACATACACAGTTTATAAAGCAGGAAGTGAGCACATTGTGCTTTTTAGATTCACTTAAAATATTTTGAATTATTGGTGTTCTTATCCATTCAAGAGTCTCTAACACTAGGGTTGTAAAATAGAAACAAAATAGCATTAACAATAGAGTTTCATATCATCTTTGTCTTAGCTACAATTTGGGAAATGTTTATGTGCATATGTTTGTTCCAAAATGTTTTAAAATTCTGTATTCACAATGCAGTAGTGTGTAAACACTACTGAATCACCAGAAATGCCTACAGTAGTGTGTGCACAAAACAGAGATCAAAGCGGAGGTAGAATATTTAGGGAAATAAAATTAAGCTAAGGATAAGGTTAGTACACAAAATGCATCTTGTGAGGTTCATCTGTTTGGTCTACTAGTGGGCATGGTAAGGATGCCTGAATTTAAATGAAAATTCTAGTACTGATTATAATTCACATATCATTTTATTGCTCTATAGTTTTTAACTGTGCCCAAACAACTCTTGGTATTCACAAACTAATTACTTGAGTTTATAGATTCACATACCCAGTGATATCCTCCTTGAATCTTTCTGCCATTTAGTCATTTTACTTCCAAGTATCTTAACATCCATCAGAGGCCAATGAAGGAAAAAGATGCAAAAGTCATCCTATTTATTTTTTGCCTTAAAATACAGGTGTATCATCTACAACCATTCCATCTTTGACAAACCTGACAAAAATAAGCAATGGGTAAAGGATTCCATATTTAATAAATGGTGTTGGGAAAACTGGCTAGCCATATGCAGAAAACTGAAACTGGACCCCTTCCTTACACCTTATACAAAAATTAACCCCAGATAGATTAAAGATTTAAACATAAGACCTAATAACACCATAAAAACCCTAGAAGAAAACCTAGGCAATACCATTCAGAACATAGGCATAGGCAAGGACTTCATGACTAAAATACCAAAAGCAATGGCAACAAAACCCAAAATAGACAAATGGGATCTAATTAGTCTAAAGAGCTTCTGCCCAGCAAAAGAAACTATCATTAAAGTGAACTGGCAACCAACAGAATGGGAAAAATATTTTTTTGCAATCTACTTATCTGACAAAGAGCTAATATCCAAAATCTACAAAGAACTTATATTTACAAGAAAAAAAAAACATCAAAAAGTGGGCAAAGGAAATGAACAGACACTTCTCAAAAGGAGACATTTATGCAGCCAAGAAACATATAAACACATTAAAAAAGGGTCATCATCACTGGTCACTAGAGAAATGCAATTCAAAACCACAATGAGATACCATCTCACACCAGTTAGAATGGCAATCATTAAAAAATCAGGAGACAACAGTTGCAGGAGAGCATGTGGAGAAATAGGAATGGTTTTACACTGCTGGTGGGAGTGTAAATTAGTTCAATCATTGTGGAAGACAGTGTGGCAATTTCTCAAGGATTTAGAACTAGAAATACCATTTGACCCAGCAATTTCATTACTGGGTATATACCCAAAGGATTATAAATCATTCTATTACAAAGACACATTCACATGTATATTTATTGCAGCACTGTTCACAACAGCAAAGACTTGGAACCAAGCCAAATGCCCATCAATGGTAGACTGGATAAAGAAAATGTGGCACATATACACCATGGAATACTATCCAGCCATAAAAAGAGGATTAGTTCATGTTCTTTGCAGGGATGTGGATGATGCCAGAAACCCTCATCTCAGCAAACTGACACAAGAAAACCAAACACCATATGTTCTCACTCATAAGTGGGCACTGAACAATGGACACATGGACACAGGGAGGGGAACATCACACACCAGGGCCTGTTGGGTGATGCAGGGCTAGAGGAGGGATAGCATTAGGAGAAATACCCAAAGATGGAGGAGGGATGGATGCCGCAAACCACCATGGTACATGTATTCCTATGTAACAAACCTGCACATTCTGCACATGTACCCCAGAACTTAAAGTATAATAATAAAATGTGGGTGTGTATACTGGGAGAAGGAAAGGGTAAAGCAGTTAGATGCTATTAGAAATATTTGGAAGAGAATAAAGAAGAAATTAAAAATTTGTGATTTTTAGTTATCAAAGTCATTAATTTGTGTTATCCATACAACTGCAGAATTTCAATATGGGCATCTTGTTAAGGGAAAGCTTTCAGAGAATGTTAACATTTCTTAATAGTAAACACATCCCTACACTCACATAATTATAAGTCTTCATGTACAAGGTACTCAAGATCAGAAACTTTGTAAAAAGCCTTTTAATCAGATAAATTTGAACATATTATCTAGAAATAACTGAAAAGAGTATCAAACATTATAGAACAGTCATTTGATAATATGGTAAATATGTCAAATCAAGAGAATATAGTCCTCTTAAAATTATAAAAGTTGTATAAACGGGAAAGATTATACAAATATACCATAAAAAGTACTTACAATAAAAATATGAGAAAAATACAAACTGATATGTAAACTATAAAATATGTAAAATAGTCAATAGTGGTGGTTCATACCTATAATCCCAGCACTTTGGAAGGTTGAGGTAGGTGGATCACTCGAGGCCAGGAGTTTGAGACCAGCCTGGGCAACATGATGAAACCCTATCTCTAAAAAAAAAAAAAATTAGCTGGACATAGTGGTGTGCATATAGTCCTAGCTACTTAGAAGGCTGAGGTGGGAGGATGGCTTAAGCCTGGGAGGTGAAGGCTGCAGTGAGCCGAGATGGAACCACTGCACTCTAGCCAGGGTGACAGAGCGAGCCCCATCTCAATAAAAATAAATAATAAAATGAAAGATGTAAAATATCTCTGCAGGTAGACAAAGGTGGTATGTAAAAGCAAAAGAGTTATATTGGATTAAGATGATGAATTTTTTTCTCATAGTATTCTTTGATATTTTGTCATTATAATAAGTATAATTGAGGAAGAAATGACGACAAAGCTTTCATGTGTAGAATACTTTTTACAGGTTTACTGAGTAATGTGTACTTTCTGTTCACTACCTTTTAAAATATAAATTTAAGTCTAAATTTTACAAACTCATGGGAGATAATCTAAACTATTTTTCTTGCCATTAAAATGTGCATTTTCGGGTATTTTTTTCATAAAAATGGATACAGGAGAACTCAATAACATTCCTCTTCCTTCTTTCTAACTCTTGTTTTTCTTAGGCATTACCATAGGAGTCTTGGTTCGAGAACACAGCAATCTCTCAAATCTGGACAAATTCTACTTTGCTTTTCCTGGAGAAATTCTAATGCGGATGCTGAAACTCATCATTTTGCCATTAATTATATCCAGCATGATTACAGGTACCTTGAGAAAACTAATGTTTCATGTATTAGTCCATTTTCCTACTGCTATAAAGAACTGCCTGAGACTGGTTAATTTATAAAAAAAAAAAAAAAAAAAAGAGGTTTAATTGACTCACAGTTAAGCATGGCTCAGAAGACCTCAGGAAACTTAGGATCATGGTGGAACGCAGAGGAGAAGCAAGGCAAACTTCTTCACAGGCGGCGGGAAGGAGAAATGCCTTATAAAACCATAAGATCTCGTGAGAACTCACTCACTATCACGGGAACAACATGAGAGAAACTGCCCTTAGGATTCAATTACCTCCACCTGGTCTCTCCCTTGACACAATTATGGGGATTACAATTCAAGAGATTTTGGTGGGAACACAAAGCCTAACCATGTCATTTTCTATAATTATTTAAAAAGCTTTCACCTAAGTTGTTCTTTTCTAATAATGGGAAAAATTGAAATGCATTAGATACATCACACACACACACACACACACACACACACTCTCTCTCTCTCTCTCTCTCTCTCTCTCTCTCTCTCTCTCTCTCTCCCCCCCCCTCCTGCCCCCACCCCACCCATCTTTCTCCACTTCTCTCCACCTGGAATGTCTATATTTGTTTCTGTGGAAACATTTCGCTGTTCTCAACATGGCATTGCTTTGTCATATGCTGTGCCTACAGCACTGTCCACCACTGCTCAAATCTTCATTTGACCAGCGTTTGATGTCTTGGGAGGAAAATGTCATTTTCAAACATAATATAAACAAAACACTCTCTGTGCATAGAAGAAAAAAAAAGGCATATTTGGTCACTGAAATGTTAGCTAGTGTCCTCAGGAAAAATATGGTTGTCAATTTTGATCATGTTTTCAGTCATTCACTCATTTACTTCCCAACTGCAGCTGTGCTGCCCCGAGCCTCTCAGCAGCTGCCTTCAAGATCTCTCTACTCCTCCCCTACTTTCTACTCAAACCCAGAACTTGCTATGTACATGCCCTACATATTTGCTGTGGGGACCAGCAGTCAAGTTCTGTGAGAAGGGTTTAAATACAGATGTGCAACATATTTGAAAAGCCCAGTATTTTTAAAACTTGTGATACAGTTGCATTTGGAAATGACTTTTTCCTTATTGATCATCATATTGCAGTGTTCCTTTAAAGACCAAGCTTCCTTATATAGATAGAGATGAATTTGGTTTACAAAAATGTCATTTGTCTGGGTGTGGTAAGTTTCTCTGCATTGCATAGTTTCTTGCACCTATCTTAACTCTGGTAATTGGTAAAACCTGGCATGATAGTAGCTGGTGTTGTTGGCTTGAAAATCAAGGTCTTATGTAAACATGCAAGTAGAAGTCGTGACACGTCCCCTTCTAGAACATTTTTCTCCACCGCCACTGTAAAGGCCCAGGACTGGACCTGGTAGAGTACTGGACATTGGTGGGGGGAAGGGAGGGTGGGGATCAGGATCTCCTGCGTTCAGCAACCGTATTGCTTGAAGAGCTGTCTCATTTGGCCTTTGAATTTCCCAATCACCAAACTCCAAACAAACTAGAGTCCCTTGGGAGCTTTGTCTTTAAATGGTCTTGATGTTCTTGGCTTATGAAAAACATAAAGAGAACATTTAATTATTTTATGAATGTATTTAATTATGCTTGGAAATGCCTGGTTTCTTCTAAGCCTAGCAGCCTGAGTGACACAGTAGCAGACCAATTGTTTGTCCCATATATTTGTTTGTTTAAATTGTCATAAGCATTCAAAATTGGAAAGATTTCATGTAAATATCCAGATTGCAGGCTTTCTTCTGTCAGGTCACGGGTGAGGGGGATGAAGATCTGGGAACACTGGCCCAATATTTCCACCCACCAACAGTGGTCTGAAACCAAGAGAAAGCTACTCCATTTAGCTGGAGAAAATGCATTTAAGAATATCACAGTCTCCACCACTTCCTATTGTCTAATACCTTGTCCACTTCACTCTTACACTACCTGCCTGGCCCCTATAAGGATTGCAGTTATAATCCCTTAGAATCTTCTCCATATCAAAGATTTAAAAAAATAATTTTTTTTATTTTTTGAGACGGAGTTTTGCTCTTGTTACCCAGGCTGGAGTGCAATGGCGTGATCTCAGCTCACCGCAACCTCCGCCTCCTGGGTTCAGGCAATTCTCCTGCCTCAGCCTCCTGAGCAGCTGGGATTACAGGCATGCGCCACCATGCCCAGCTAATTTTTTGTATCTTTAGTAGAGATGGGGTTTCACCATAAAAAAAAAATTTTTTTTTTTAAAACATGGGGTCTTGCTCTGTTGCCCAGGCTGGTCTCGAATTTCTGGGCTCAAGCAAGACTCACCTTGGCCTCCCAAAGTGCTGGGAGTATAGGCGTGAGCCACTGCACCCAGCCAAAGATTCTTAATCTTTCAGTGGGCTCCTTTGAGAATACAATGAAAGCCTTGGACTTCTTTTCAAGAAAAACATGCACAATTGTACATATATACTGTATTTTGCAGTGCTTATGCACAAGATGCATAAACCACCTGATGAGCAATACTATTTAACTCGTGTCTCTGAGGGGAAATACAGAAACTTGATCCAAGTTATGCAGCAAACCCAAAACTCGAGTTTTAGAAGAAAAGGTAAAAATACATGTATGAATATACTAATTCTGTAATATCAGATGTTTGAAAATACGCACCACTCTTGGCAGTCAATAACAAATGAGGTTGTTTGTTTGTTTGTTTGTTTGTTTGTTTGTTTGTTTTTCTCTGGCCAGAAGCCAAAAGCAGGTACTTCCTCTAGTGAGATTTTTGCAGTCTGGATGTTTTGTGTGTTAACTCAACCTTGCAAATAATCTAGGAAAATAATTTACAACTCAGCATTCCATTGACAGCCCAGCTACTTTTGAAGCTATAGTATGGCTCAGGTAGTTTCTCTACTTTTCCTTCACCAAATCCCAGCAGCCAGTCAAGAACCAGAGACAGCGAGCAAAATCACCACCCCATCTTTTGATTTGGGGCAATGAAATAGTCAAAGATTCAAGGGACATGAACAAAGCAGGGTGGGGACAATGATGGCATATTCATGTTTTAAATTGTCAGATTACAGGGGAAGAGCAACAAGACTAGTGTTGGCACAGTTACGGGAAAGTTAGTTCATTCATACACTTTCAGTTACCATATAAAAATTGGAACAAGCTTTCTAGAGGATAGTTTGGAGCATGTTCTAATCTCCAAATCTAGTAATTCTGTTCCTCAGAATTGATCATAAAGAAATAAGCAGAGATAAGTTCAAACTCCTAAGTACAAGGATATTCATGGTAGCATTTTTTTTATAATGGTGATAAATTATAGGCAACCTAAATGTATAGTATACATTTAGGTATACTATACCTAAATACAGTATACATTTGTATACTTGTGTATTTGCATACAAATGTATAAATGTATACTGTGTATACAAATTTATATTGTATACTATGTGTACATAGTATACATGTTCGAATACTAAGCAACTATTAAAAACTTGTTTTAGAATCATGTTTAATGACATGTGGAAACCCAATACAGCATGAAATGGGAAAAGAAACCAAATTGTATTCTATCCAATTTTACTAAAATTTGGATTGTATACAATATCCTGTTGTGTATATACGTTTTTTAAAGTTGTGATCAAAACCAAAAGATTAACATTTTGATCTGGAAAGTAAGAAAACGTGATCCTTTGTGCTTTCTTTACATTTTCAAGTGAACATGTGTTTTTGTTTGGTTTGTATTTTTAATGAAAGAGATGGGGATGGATTCTGCCCTGAGCCCCTCCAATTCTGCCTCTGGTCACTTCTCTGCCCCATCTCTGCTCTCTGCCCATGCCAGCTCAGTACCACCTCTACCTGGTATGTAGCTCCTTCCTCCAAACCCTGCAGTTGTCCTCAGCCTCCCAACAAAGAAGATGGCTGTGGAAAACACACAGGAAGGGCCTTTTCACATTGCAAACACCCTCATAAGTCTGCCAGGCTGGTAGCTTAATGTATACAGTTATTAGGCCAAAGGAGGATGCAGGTGGGAAGCTGGGGAGGGTTGAATGAGTCCCCTAAGGATACGTAAATTAGAAGCAGAAACACAGCTGGAATTCAGACACAAGATTAATCATCTATGCTCCTGCCTAAAGGAAACTCTCTTGCCAAATTAACAGGTAGAAAAAAATCCTGTCATCAAAGTCTCTGGTGAGATTTTAAAAATATTTTATAGGTTTTTTAAAAAAAAAACAGGAAGAACCCCCTTTTACGTGATGGTAAGGTTAAGAAGTCATATTTACCATGGAAATTTGAATACAGACTGGCTATTAGATGGTATCAATAAATTGTTTAAATATGATAATGGCATATAGTGGTATAAGAAAATGCCCTTACTTTTTAAATGCATATGGAGTCATGAAATGACATAATGTCTCAAATTTACTTTAAAACAGAAAAAAAAAAAAGAAAGAAATGGCACAGTCGATATAAAGTCAAGACATTTTCCAAGACAGACATTGTGGGTACTAATAGAAACCCACCCATAAATTACATCCTAAAGAACACACTCATGCCATGCCAAGGAATATCTGTGCTTGGGGTCTGCTAACACTTAGGCTTGTAAGTCACATTTATGTCAAACCACCAGAGAAATAACAGGAAATAGCTTATGAATATGCCTGAGAATTGTGGCACTGGAAAAATCCTGATCCATGTCTCAGTAGCCAGTGAGTTTAAATTCAGGTCACATTTTCTTTAATACCCCTCAAAATTAAACTGTCATGATTGGAGCCTCCTATGATCAGCACAGGAACAAAACAGCACCTCCAGTCCCACTCCCAGAGGTCCCCTGAGCATCCTTCCCTGATGCTCATAACTTTGCTCAGGCAGAGGTTCCAGCTCTTCCACTCCAGCCTCTGCCACCCTTGCCTGGGCCAGAAGCTCTAGTGGGCACAGCTCCACCTCCTGGTGTCTGCTACAGCTGCCACTACCCCTATGACCTGAGGAGT